GGTGATTGTCAGAGGTGGGGATGGGGGTGGTGTTGAGGGTGGGCAAAATGTATGAAGGGGATAAAAAGGAACAAACTTCTGTTTATAAAACAAATAAGTCATGGGAATATAATGTACAGCATGGTGACTATAATTAATAATACTTTATTGTATATTTGAAAGTTATTAACAGTAGGTCTCAAAAGTTCTGATCACAAGAAAAAAATAATTGTAACTATTGGGGTGGTAGGTGGTAACTAGAATTATTGTGGTGGTCATTTCACAACACACACATTGAATCATTATCTTGTACACCTGAAGCTAACACAATGTTATATGTCAGTTATATCTCAACGAAAACAAGGACAAAAATAAAAGTTGTAGGTTCAGGGTAGTATAAGAGGTCTAAGTCATTTGACCTGATTTCGCAACTCTCACTATTTCTATTTTAAAAAGTGGGAGCAGTAGACCACTAATAATTTTTAAAAGCTGAATTTGTTCTGATACCTTCTACTGACAGGCACAACAAATTTTTTCAAGTAAAACAAATGCAAGAAAGCACATTCATTCTGAAAAAACTTTCTTGAATTGTATTTACTCATAATATTTGACCTACTTTCTACTATGAAACAGGTTTTTCTGCCAAAGATTCCCAGCTGGAACTGGACTACTGGAGACAACATCATCTGCTTTGCCGAATTGAAGCTTGGATTCATGGCCCAAGGCTGTCTGGTGCCAGGTTTATGCACCTTTCTAACGACTCTATTTATTGAACAGAACAAAAAGGTAACCTTGTAAATTGTTGAATCTTGGCTTTTTTCCCATGTCCTCACATGGTTAGGATCAGAAATAGGAAAAAAAAAAAATTGAAGAAGGCAAGAAAGCCCCAAGGAATCAGATTTGACTTCCATTTGAACGGCAAAGTATTGAGAGATCTAGACTGCAGTCCCAGACATTACACTGACCTTGAAGAAGTTATTTATCTTATTCTTGTCTAAGAATATTTATCTGCAAAATAGAAATAATATCTTTGCTTCCTACCTGCAGTCCAAGATGCTGGGAATATAAATGTAGAAGTACTTGGAGTTACTGAACATAGAAATATAAAAAGGGCACCGGGGCAGCTTGGGTGGTTAAGTATCTGACTCTTGATTTCGACTCAGATCATGATCTCACAGTTGGTGAGATTAAGCTCCATGTAGGGTTCTGCACTCATAACATGGGGCCTGCTTGGGATTTTGTCTCTCCCTCTCTCTATGCCCCTCTCATCCTCTTTCTCTCTCTCTCTCTCTCTCTCTCTCTCTCTCTCTCTCTGAAAATAAATAAATAAACTTAAAAAAAGGAATATAAATAAAGACTATATTATTAATGGAAAATCATCTATTTAAATATAAAGTAACTATGTAATAATTGATATAATAATAAATAATTATATTCATTGAACAAATAATAATACAAATAATAATTACAATCTAATTTTTCAGGTTATTTTGGGGACATTCCATGCAGTAATAATAGTCACCACTATGAATGCCTTCTATGTTATTGATTTTAAATACATTATGTTTCTGCTTGATAATATTTTAAGATAGCATCCCAGTAATAGGTCAGTGAAGCTAACCTGATTTTATAGGAAGTTAGTGAGTAGCAGAGGTAGAATTGTCTGACCTAATTAATGTCTTACCACTATGCTTGATGCCTGTGGTTGTTAGGTATCTACTCACAATCTCCCACATCAGGTCCTTTGATACCTTTGAGTCAAAATAAGTGGCTTGAAGGGACTATTAGGGTGCTATAGTACCAAGTATGGCCTTTGAAGTGTCACTCCCATGAAATATTCCAGGAAAGGCTCTAACCCTCAGCTGGGCCTGGTATCCCATTGTCCAGAGGCTCTTCAGAGAGTCTGAGAGTGACATTTCCTCTTCATTTAATTATGAGTCCACACATGACTTCTTTTATACTCAGTTTCCCCCTTGGCCTTTTTTTTTTTTTGCATTTTATTTTCTTTTTTAATAAATTCAAAAAACTTTTTGCATCTTTTCTGTTTTCATCCCTGGTACGATATAAAAACAAATAAACACCATGAAAGATGCTCTGGCCAGCAGAACACTAACTGAAAAACAAAGGTTTCTTCTGTAATTCCTTCTGTGAATGTGAGGAGATATCATATATAGATAAATAGAAATGACCATCAGGCAGCAGGAAATGAGCCTGGTGCTACTACAGTGAACCTGCATTAGCCTTATCTTAGTGGTCACTGTGTAAGGCTTCGAAAATCACTTGTGAGGAAATTGTCTCTGCCTGTGTTGTGTCCTTACAAAGTGCAAGATAACCACGATATCTGTTGTAATGACTCTGATACTAATCTCCAGGGCTAGAGAAAGTAAATGGAATGAGAACCCTCTATGAAGACTTCATCTCTTTCATGGAAATAGAGGAGGAAGAAATGCAAACCAATCCTGTATTATGTTGTTCTTCTTGATGTGTAATCTGCAGTTGTAACCTCCTCACTGAACATGGCCTGTCAACATTCATCTTAAGAGGGCTTTGGGGATATAGGAATTGAGAGAGATTATTTGGAAGTGATGTCTAAAACCTACTTTCAGAAATCTTAAACTGGGCCCCAGATTTTGTAATTCTGTACTCTGCTCTGGTTTATACATTCCGTAATAAACTGTTAAGTTAGGTTTAACAGCCAGGACTCCAGTGTCTTGTGTTCCATTTTTGTTGCATTGGACACTTATTTTCTCTGTCAGTTTCTGCATCAATAAAATGAGAGTTATGAAGGAAACAATCAACAAAACTAAAAAGCAGTCTATGGAATGGGAGAAGATACTTGCAAACAACATGTCTGGTAAAGGGTTAGTATCCAAAATCTATAAATGTATAAAGAACTTATCAAACTCAATACCCAGAAAACAAATAATCTGGTTAAGAAATAGGCAGAAGAAATGAATAGACGTTTTCCCAAAGAAGACACCCAGATGGCTAACAGACCTATGAAAAGATGCTCAGCATCACTCATCATCAGGGAAATCCAAATCAAAACCATGATGAGATAGCGCCTCACACGTGTCAGAATGGCTAAAATTAACAACTCCGGAAACAACAGATGTGGATGAGGATGTGAAGAAAGGGAAACCCTCATACGGTTGGTGGGAATGGAAACGGATGCAGTCACACTTGAAATTAATATGGAGGTTCCTCATAGAGCTAAAAACAGAACTACCCTATCACCCAGCAATTGCACTACCAGGTATACAGAAAGGATACAAAAATACAGATTCTAGGAGGTCAGTACACCCGATGTTTATAACAGCCTTATCAACAGTAACCCAACTACAGAAAGAGACCAAGTACCCACTGACTGATGAATGGATAAAGAAGATGTGGTATATATTTACAATGGAATATTACTCAGCCATCAAAAAATTGAAATCTTGCCATTTGCAGTGACATGGATGGAGCTAGAGTGTATTATGCTAAGCAAAATAAGTCAGTTAGAGAAAGACAAATACCATACGATTTCACTCATGTGAAATTTAGTAAACAACACAGATGAACATTTGGGGAGGGGAAAAAAAGAGAATGAGAGGAAAACCAGAAGAGACTTTTAATGATAGAGAACAAACTGAGGGTTGCTACAGGGGAGTTTTAGTGTGTGGGGGGAGTTAAATGGATGATGGGGATTGAGGAGGCACTTGTGATAAGAACGGGGTGTTATATGTAAGTGATGAACCACTGAATTCTACTCCTGAAACCATATGTGACACTATATGTTAACTACCTAGAATTTAAATAAAAATTTGGAAAAAAATAAAACAAAATAAAACCAAAAACTTTCTTTAGGCTTGAAAAAGAAAATAAAATAAGCTATTAATCTCATAATCTGATTTTTGTAAGTATTATGTTAATATCTGTAAAACTTATGAGTACTCAGATTGAAAGACCTTGGATCAATGGTATGTGTTTCACCTGTATTAATTATATGGTGAGACATTATAGTCCAAAGAGCATTTCCAGTTGCTTCAAGGCACAGAGCGTTGCCTTAGGCTTAAACTTAAATTAGATCTACTCCAACTTACATACTTGAGCTCCCTGACTCCACTATCTAAATCCAAAATCCATCTTATCTTCCTGTTTCCCTTTCTGATCTTTAAAAAATGAGAACAGGACGTCTTCTCCATCTCTATCATTTTTTTACCATTTTTCAAAAACTGAAACATTTGGCTTAGAAGTGCCAAGCCAGTTTTTTCAGTAATTGGAACTTAAATAGGGACCACCCAGTGAGAGGAGCCCTTCTCAATAGAAGAATTTAAGAGAGTGGAAAAAGGCAGGAGATTCAGCTGAATCTTGGAAAGGGAGTTGCAGGGGAGAGTGCCTGCCTGGACTGCCTGATAAAATTAGTCCTTTTTTGTAAGGCAGGATTTGTGTGTGTGTGTGTTTGTGTGTGTGTGTGTGTGTGTGTGTGTGTGCGCGTGTGTGTGTGTGTGTGTGTGTGTGTGTCTGTGTGTGTTTTATTTTTTTTTGAAACTGCAAGATGGCCATCTGAGGAGTATTTGTGAACTGGCCTTAACTGTCCACAGCCACACTGTTTCAGAGCTTCCAGAACTTCCAGACATTCACCTGAGACTCTGGGGTATAAAGGGGCCTGTCCTGCCATGTCAGGGCAGTGTGCTGGGGATTCTTATGGCAGCAGATGGGGAGAATGATGGGGATGTACATAGAGAACAACAAAATTCCAAGTTCTTACACAAATACCAGGGATGAGTTACCCAGCAGCCCTCACCCTTCACAGGCTGTATTTAGCCTTTTTGAGAGATACCCTTCTCCCTTCCCATCTCCCTCTTCTCTAGAAACCTATTGCTGCCCTCAATTTTTATATTCCCATTTCCATTGATCAGGATGGCCACTTAAATTCATTTGAAGCTATGAAGACTTCTGATGCTGGGCAGAACCCATGCATATTTTTTTCTTTGTGGTATATGGCTAGTCAGTAGAAAACTAATATGTTAAAAAAAACAATATGGAATAGCCATATCCATAGAGAGACAATTTAGATACCATATTATCCTTCTTATCTTACTGTTACCGACTCAAAAACTAGTCTATCTTGCTGAAATTATTAGAAAAATTCCAGTTTTCAACAAGGAGCCTTGAATGCCATCTGGGAAGAAATCAAGTCATGATGCTTTTACTTCATTCTGAACTCTCTAGTGTAAATAGTAAAGATGTATGTTAGAGTTTAAGTTCTTCCTTTCTTCAGTTAACCCCTAGGACAAATCTCTTTTTTATGACTTAAGCACAACGAGCGCTGGTTTGCTGCCTGGCAGGATATACAACTTGAATTGTAATATCCCATATTGCATGGCATTGTGCTTCATGTCACATGATTGTGTATTCCAGGTTTTTCCTAAACAGCCCTGGCAAAAACATTTCTTGAATGGCCTGAAGAACAAAATCCTGACTCAACGTCTCTCTGATGACTTTGCTGGAATGAGTTTTCCTGAAGTTTCCCGGTAAGTTAATAGAAATAACTTTCCTCATTCTTGAAGTGACATTCTTTTGACAGTGCTCACTGGGGGCTCACTGTAGGCCAGGCTCCATGGTAGATGTTGAAGATGTGGGAATGAACATGCCTGAGTCTCTACAACCTAGAACTTTGCAGTCTGTGTGGGACAGTTTTGTGTCTGTCACAGTCGTCACGTGGGCTGGGACTTACTTTAGAATGGATTCCACATTTGGGAGGGTCTTCCTCTGCTGAGGTACTAGTGTTTTCCCAGACACAGAGTACAAAGTGTTGGTCATGTTCTTGTGAATTAGCACCCTGCCACCCTCTTTCCTCACAATTTCATGTCTTCCTTCCTAGGCTCTGCTTTGTGAAGATGGGACTCATGCTGATAGCCATCGAACACAAATCCTTGTTTCATGGTTGCTGGTACCAATGAGACTTTGAATCTCTTCAGTTTTTTTTTTTTTAAAGGAGAATCTTTATGATTAAGACTTTTACAAAAATACAGCCATAACTAAGGTTTTGCCATTTGTTGAGAGCCAGCCTGTTGGGCACCCAGTCTGCTGTGGTGCACTTAGTACTGTCTCTAGTGACTGGGGTTAGAATCTAATGATTGGGGTTAGAATGGTTATCCTGGTGGGTAAGCACGTACTTTGCCTTTGTTGTTATGGCCCTCCCTAAGTTCTCATGAGCAGGAGAGAGAAGTGGTCTCCTTCTCATATCTGTTCCTTTTAATGTATTACCAGATCTTCTAAGTCTTGACCATCAAATAATACTCTGAGTTAAAATTATTTATGACAGAAGATGCTCCCACAAATTGCAGCCTTAGAAAGTAAGCTACAAAATATGGCAAAATAAGAATTTGGCCTACTGAACAAAGTATGCTATTGGTAGAGTGGATAAAAGAAAGAAGTAACATTATTAGATCAATGGAATTTCTTGAAAACCCATAATGGATAATATGAGAAGTAAGATAATTTATCATGTAATGAAAAAGAAAATCCAGGACAAACAGAGAATCAGCTACAATGATACAGAGATAAAAGATACTAAAAAATAAGAAAAACTAGAGGATTAAGTGGGATGAGGAACAAGAAAGAATATTATATTGGCTTGTGTGTGTGTGTTTTTAGTGGAAAACTAAGTTGAATTAAATTGGAATCAACAGAATAAATTCTGATCCTGATTATGATTTGCTGGCCCCATGGCACTGGAAAAGTGTCCATCTTCTGTAAAATGAGGAAGTCATTCTAGCTCTAAAACTGTCATTACCAGGAGCCTTAGAATTACAGAGAAATATTAACAATTCAATAAGTTTGAATGATAGCAGATGGACTACAGAGGACTAATTTTATATGAAACGTTGAAAAGAAAAATTGAAGTATAGAGGATTCAGAATGTAACTGGGCTAAAGAAGTGAGTGGGGTACTGTACAAAGGAAGTCACTAAAGAGAGAATAACAAATAGTATTGTCTGGCTGTCTATATTCTAATTAACAATCCTGCTATACTCAAGGAAGTCTCGAAATCTAATCCTTGGACAAATGGCTCTTCTTCCAGAAATAGGTCATGGTAAAAAAAGATGGGAGTCTTAGAACCATAACCCAGGCAGTTTGGGTTTGAGACTAGCTCAGAACTTGATCAAGTTTGAACGTTTTTGGCCTTCAACAATCTGGACTATGTAGTAGAATTATTTGCAGAACTTTCAAAGCATGTAGATTCCAAAATCCCACTTCTTAACTCTATAAAATTAAAATCTCCAAGGGTGGAGCCAGAGAATTTTCAAAGTTCCTGATACAGTCACTTTATTCACTGGGATTTGGAAACTGCTGGACCAAATGGTCTTTGAGACCCTTTCCAACTTTAACATCCTCGATTTTGTTAAACTTTACTATTAGGATGGCTATGGGACATCACAGACCAGAAACATGACCATTTATTATGTAGCTAATTTCCACATATATTCAAATGTCCTGGTGCTGTGTACTACCCAGCATGCAACTACCCTCATGAAAGAGGAACCTGCTCCAACTTAAATTTAATCTTGTTTTCTCACCGAAGAGTCAGGTGAATCAAAAGGATTAAATCCTGATACGGATAATAGCTGTCTTTACACCTTTACTAGTTTATGACCAACAGTGCTGTAGGCACTTTACTTACATAAACTCTTGAATCTTTACAACAATGGGTAGAATTCTTAGTCCCATTTTATAGAAGAGGAAGATGAGGCCCCGAAAAGTTAAATAATTTTCCCAAACTCACACCAGTCCCAAGTGGCAGAGCCAGAATCTGAACTCAGCCTGGCTCTGGGGACAGTGCTTCTGCTCACTATGCTGTGCTAACTCCACCACGGACACAAAAGGAAGGAAAATAGGGTATCTCAATGGCTGGGGTTTTAGACTAGTATATAGGAAAAACTGGTGGTGGGGGGGAACCTATCTTTTCTCATCTTTTATTTTCTCTTCTCATTGATACACTTGAATAGACTTTAAAACTTGGAAAAGCCCTCGATAATCATCAGGATTTGTCTCAGAGGATAATTTGTCATCTGCTAAGAGATAGAGCTGGATCTGGCCCCAGTCAGATAATGTTCTAAGTTTGTTCCAGTAAGGAACATTCTCTGAGAGAGCAACTGGCCATGATTCATGGAGGGGGTATGGGAAAAGTTTGGGAAAATCTTCAACGGGAGTTCACCTCTTCTTTCAAATGTCACCACAGATATTATCATGACAGTATCTTCATAACTAATTATTTAATATGAGTTCAGAAGATGCCCCTTTAAAAATAGGAGATAAGAAGATACAACTAAGTTTATGCTTGCTGGCTGGTGAACATCAACCAGGGTTATTGGGGTAGGGGCACAAATCTATGTTCTTTTCCTTTCAAAGTTAAAATGGTTTGTTCTGCTCGTTAATATCAGTCAGTGCATTTTTGAAAATTCCATCCAATATCTCAGGTAACAAACCACCTCAATACAGCTATTCAGCATCTTTCTACTCTCGGCATAGGGTGGAAGAGGTTTTGTGGTGAAACCCCTTTTATTTTTGTAAGGCTCTTACATTTGCACATTACTTTGGAGTGCCCTAACAACAGAATAAGCTTTCCAAAATTAAGACTTGACTTCTTTCCAATGTTAATATAAAAGGTTTGTGTTTTAAAGGTGGGAAGAAGTACTTTCATTATGCACAAATGAAGTGATGGGAGTTTCAGGGTTATAAGACCTCACCGTGCTGGAGGTCTGAATTAAAGGAAATAAAAACGGGATATCTCAACAAATGGGGAGAAGTGTGAGGAATTCAAATAGTCATAACGTAGTACTGCATCAAGGAGTATCATGGATAAAATTTGTAAGATGTCATTTTCAAACACACAAACCATAAGAAAATAGAAAATCAAAGCATTCATGTAGCGGTAGAAGCTATTCATGTGGTTCCTGCTCTCAAAAATCTTGCAATCAAGATAGAAAAAAAAGTGAAGTCAAAAGAAATACATAAGTTCAAAAATTACATAGGCAAACAAAAGGAACCTTTGAATCCAGCTGGTTAACTAGACATCATTTACTTTTACAGGGCAAGTAGCCTAAGGATAAACACCAGTAGCATGACTGTAAGACTTTCAACTGTGTGGCCGTGGCATTGGATAGCCTAAATTAGCAAGGCTTCATGCATCTTAGTTGGTTTGCCCATTTCAGATTCAGGACGCAGTCCAGCTCAGCTGGACTCAGCTCAGCTGCGTGCAACTCAGCAGTCGTGTTGTGACTCCCTTCTGGATATTTAGCAGCAATCAAAGAAATATAGTCAAATTCACTTTTTCTACTGTGTTTGGCCGTAGTTGTGGATGGGGTCCTATTAACTCTATAGCTTAGAGAATCCATTGGTTATGACAGAATGAAACACCAATTATTGCCACAGAAATTAAAGGGGGAATATTACTGTGTTTTTATTTTCTGTTTCCAGTGGTCTGATGCTAAATCCACCTGCAGAAGTTAAACTGCGTAAGAACACATTAGGGTTCTTTATTGCTGAATCTTCAAAGGAAGTCATAAGGTAATTTTTTTTATTACTTTATGGGGAGAAAGTCCTAAGGCAAATGCAACTTAATGGCAGACAGACTGAGCCAGTGCCACGCTTCCTTAGTGTTAAGCCTCACATAAGTCATTCTTCATTTGCTTTCATTGTCCAGAGCCGCCTTTTACTGTGCCAAATGTCACGGTGATGTCTTCATTCCTGAGCTAATTGGAAAATGTAACTGCAAAACCAAGATCCAGCGACACTTCCCAGGTAACTGCACTTTATATCTGGTTGCCCTCAGCCCAGCTTCCAGGGGCATGGCCAAGGAAAGAGGAGAGGTTTCCCCCTCTTAAAAGATAATGCCCACTTGAATTTGGCCAAGAAGTGGCAGATATTTCCCCACTGGGCATACAAGACCTGAGAATCAGTTTTTTAGAGCTGGAAGAAATCTTACTAGTTATCTAGTTAGACTCCTTCACACACAGGCAAGTGAGTACCAAGAGATTCAATAGCGTGCAAAGTCCCGGAGCTAATTGGAGGTGCTTCCCAACTTCAGTCTCAAAGTTCATTCAGCCTGTATCCGACTGCTTGGTTGGCCATAGGCCACCTCATGGCCACTCTTATAAAAATTATTGCCTTACATTTACTTGACAAAGAACATTGTATAAATTTAAGGTGTGCAACATATTGAGTTGATATATTTATATTGCAATATGATTGCCATTGTAGCTTTAACACCTCTACTGTGCTACATTATTATCATTTCTTCCTTGGGAACAATACCATCCCTTGAGTATTCTGTTTCCTTAATGGATAATAGGGGGTTTTAAATTTATTCATTTTGACACAGTGATGAAGAAATGTAACTTTTTATTCTGTCTCTACATGAACCCAATAGCTTACCAACAACCTTTCCCACTTAATAGCAGGAAAAGAGAAATGAATCTCAAGCATTCATGGTAACTTCCTCCCTTGTGGCTTAAAACTTAGTCTCTTCCAGGTACAGTAAAATTCTATGGGTAAAATCCTTAGTGTTTCAGCAATTAAACTTAATTCCAAATTTGAATTTCCTATCAGGACTTTTCTTATCTCTAAGATTATCTTCCCCTTCTCCCCAGTATTCTATTTAAATGCGGGAGTAAAATTTGCTTAACATCATGGTTGTTCTTGTAGTGGATAGCAAGATACCCTTTCATACAAGTCCTTACCGGTTCCTGAGGTGCCTCATTCCCTGGATAAGTGTCAGCTTCTGTGACCTCTGCATCAATAACCAGTGTCAGCTCCTCCTGGCTTTGGGTCACCTTCTGTCATTTGTTACTAAAATCTATCCTCCCTACTATAGCCTCGGGTTTTGAGGTCTGCAGCATCCCTTTTCCTGTATCCCTAGGCTTTTCATTCCATATGTTATTTTGATCCCTCAGCTGTTTGGGATTTTTCAGTCTCCTGGTGTACATATGTCTGTCAGGAGGTGGGAGCCCTTTCAGGCCTTCTGTCTGCTTAAACACACGTGCTGGCTCGTCTCCTCCTCAGTAACCACCTTGCACTGTTCCTAAACCCTTCTCCAAGGACACAACACCAATGAAAATGAAACATATGAACACCATATGAAACACCATATGAAAATGGAAACACATTTCTCATTTTCCCCTTTGCACACCACAAAACTATCATGTTTCCCTTGTCTAGCCCCTGCTCACCAACCTGAGACACAAGCTCTGTGTGTTGGGGATGGGGGGGAAGGGACTGGGTCCCATCTGGGAGATCCGGTCTCTATCATTTTTTATAATAGCTTTATTGAGATATAATTTAAATACCATGAAGCAAATACTTTTAAAGTGTACAACGATTCAGTGGTTCTTAGTACGTAAGCAGATCTGTGCAACTATCACTACAAATTTAGAACATTTTCTGTACCTCTCAAAGAAATTCCACACCCAGTAGCAGTTACTCATCCCATCTGCCTACACTCCTCACAGGCTCTAGTCTACTTTCTGTGTCTTAGGTTTACCTGTTTGCGCCATTTCATGAAAAGGGAATCAGACAGCATGTGGCCTTGTGTGTTGGGCACCTTTCACTTAGCCATGCTGTGGCATGTGTCAATACCTCATTTCTCTGTATGGCTGAACAGTATCACATTGGATGGGTATACTTCATTTTGTTCATTCATTCATCTGTTGCTGGACATTTGAATTGTTTCCACCTTTTGGATATTGCAGATAATGTTGCTATGAATATTGGTGTGCAGATACCTGTTTGAGTTCCTGCTTGCAATTTTTTGAGTATATATCCATAAGTAGAATTGCTAAATCAAATATTAATTCTGTGTTTCATTTTGTGAAGAACCCCCATATTGTTTTCCATAGTGGCTACATCATTTCACATTTGCACAAGCAGGACACAAGAACTCCAATTTCTCCACATCCTTTTTTTTAAAAATGATTTTCCCTTTAAAAAAAAAAAAAGGATAGCCATCCTAATGGGTTTAAATTGGTATCTTATTGTGGTTTTAACTTGAATTTTCCTAATGGCTAATGAGGTCGAGCATCTTTTTATGAGGATCTTACTGGCCATTTGTATATCTTTGAAAAAATGTCTATTCAAATCCTTTAACCATTTTTATATAGGGGTATTATCTTCCTAATATTGAGATGTATATGATCTTTGTATATTCTAAATACATGAAATGTATATTCTGCCAGTATTTTCACCAATTTTGTGGTTTGTCTTTTTATTTCTTCATATAATTCCTATATTTTGATGAAGTCCAATGAAGTAGTTTTTCTTCTGTTGCTTGTGTTTTTGTGGAATATCTAACCTGAGGTCATAAAGATTTACTCTGATATTTTCTTCTAAGAATTTTGTATTTTTAGCTCTTACATGTAGGGTGGTGATCTCTTTTGAGTTGATTTTTATGTTTGATGTAAGAAAAAGATCCAACTTCATTTTTTTCACTGTGGATATTCAGTTGTCCCAGCACCATTTTCTCAAAACATTTCCACATTGAACTGTTTTAGGTACCCTTGTCAAAAAACAATGGATTGCAAAAGTGTGAGTTTATTTCTGGGTCTCAATTTTATTTCATTGCTCGGTACATTTAGCTCTACAATGACTTGACTACTGTAGTTTTATATTAAGTTTTGAAATTGAGAAATATGAGTCTTCCAAGTCTGTTATTTTTTTTCAGTATTGTTTTGATTATTCTGGGTCCCTGTATTTCTTTATGAAAATTCAGATAAACATTTCAATTTCTGCAAAGAAGCCACCTGGGATTTTGATTGACATTGTGTTGAATATGTAGGTCAATTTTGGAAATATTGCTATCTTAATAGTAACTCTTTGACTCATGAACATGTGATGTCTTTGTATCGACTTGTATCTTTAATTTCCTTCAACAATTTTCTATAATTTTCAGATAACAGGTTTTAGACTACTTTTGTTCAATTGATTCCTAAGTGTTTTATTCTTTTTAGTGCTATTATAAATGAAATTGTTTTCTTGATTTTGTTCGCAGATGATTCATTGTTACTGTATAGAAATACAATTGAATTTTGTGTGTTGATCTTATATTCTGCAACCTTGCTGAACTTGTTTTTTTAGCTGTAATACTTTTTTTGATGGCCTTTTCTTTCTTTTTCTTGCCTAATTGCCCTGGAATAATCTCCAGGACAATGTTGAATAGAAGTAATAAGAGCTTATATCCCTGTTTTGTTCCTGACCTTAGGGAGAAAGCATTAAGTATGATGTTAACTGTAAGTTTTTCATAGATGCTCATTATCTGGCTGAGGATATTTTCTATACCTAAATTCCTCAGGGCTTTTTTGTTTGTTTGTTTCTTTTCTTGATTTATAGTGGTTTTGATCTTTGTCAAATGCTTTTTCCTTTTGGAGATAAACTTGTGGTTTTTGTCTTTTATTCTGCTGGTAGAATATATTACATTAATTGACTTTATATATTAAGCCAACGTCCTAATTGGTCATACTGTAAAACCCTTTCCATATCTGCTGGATTTGGTTTGCTAGCATTTTGTTGAGGAACTTTACATCTGTATTCAATACAGATGTTGGATGGTAGTTTTCCTTTCTTTGGGGGAGTGATGTCTTTGTCTGATTTTGGTGTCATTGTAAATTTGGCCCCAAAGAATATGTTGGGAAGCATTCCTTTTCTTTGATATTTTGGAGGCATTTGTGAAGGATTAGTGTGAATTCTTTTTTAAACATTTCATGCAATTTTACCAGTAAAGCCTAACTTCATTTTTTTATTATTAGTTCAATCTCTTTCCTTACAGATCTATTCAGATTTTCTGTTTCTTCTTGAGACAGTTTTGATGGTTTTGTCCTTCTAGGAATTCATTCATTTAATCAGTTATCAAATTTGTTGACAGGCAAAGTATTGTATACATATATATTCCCTTCTAATCCTTTTCATGTTTGTCATGTCAGTAGTAACATCACCCCATTAATTTATGATTTTTGTTATTTGAGTATTTCTTCATTTTTGAGGCCAGTCTTGCCAAAAATGCTTGTCAATTTTGTTTGGGTTTTTTAATTTATTTTTTCTACTATTTTTCTTTTATTTAAATGATGTATAATTTTTATTATTTACTTCTGTCAACTTGATGTGGGTTAATTTTCTTTTCTCAATGTCTTAACATGAAAGCTTAGATTACTTCATTGATTTTTGATCTTTTTTCTTTTTTAATAAGTAAAGGAATTAACATCAATAAAATTCTCTCTAAGCACTCTTCAGGGACATGCTGTATTTGTGATGTTTTGTGTTTTCATTTTCATTCATCTAAAAATATTTTAGGGGCGCCTGGGTGGCGCAGTCGGTTAAGCGTCCGACTTCAGCCAGGTCACGATCTCGCGGTCCGTGAGTTCGAGCCCCGCGTCGGGCTCTGGGCTGATGGCTCAGAGCCTGGAGCCTGTTTCCGATTCTGTGTCTCCCTCTCTCTCTGCCCCTCCCCCGTTCATGCTCTGTCTCTCTCTGTCCCAAAAATAAATAAAAAATGTTGAAAAAAAAAAAAAAAAACAATGTTAAAAATATTTTATAATTTCACTTGTGATTTTTTGGGAGGGAAGACCCATTGGTTATTTAGGCATGTGTTGTTTTTATTTTCACATATTTGTGAATTTCTGTAATTACTTTATTACTGATTTTTCATTTCATTTCGTTGTAGTTTAAGAGAATACTTTGTATGATTTAAATCTTTTTAAATTTTTTGATACTTATTTTATGGACTAGTATATGATCTATCCTGAACAATATTCAAT